GTACACATGGGGTATAAAAGATTTTCACAAATGCTGGTCGGGGTCCTTGGCTAAAAGGAGACTCTGCCTTGGGCCCGCCGGTGTAATAAACTGCACTCCACTATCTGCATTGTCCTTCTGAGTGAGTCTGTTTCCCAGAACGCGTGGCTACAACACTACAAGTTGCTAGGTGGACTGCTGGGTGCTCAAGAATTGTCACTGATGTCACGGTGGTTGACAGTGTTTGGTGTTCTGTACCTTACAAATTTTCTACTTATTCTGACAATCACAGACCTTCAAGTAAGTAGTCTAATCTGATACAAAGTTATAACATGTAGTGTTTCTCAACTAAAGATGGTTCAAAGTAATAGCCAGGACAAAAATCAAGTGTTAATTTCCCCCAAATTCCACCTCTTATCCTTGCTAAACTTCTCCTCCATTGGTTCCTATCTCCACATCTTACGTCTCCCATTTCACCCTTTCTTCCATTCTTCAAATTTCTCATCACCAAACTGACCTCTCTTTCCAGCTCCCAAACAGAAAAATTCCAAACCTACCCATAGCTATTGTCCTTCTCTCTGTTCCTTTTCTTTATCTTTGTAATAAACATAGTGTCTCCTTTTATTCCCCTGATATTCATCATCCTTACTCACACCTCCCATGTTTATTTTTATTGGTGGAAATGAATACTCCCATCCCCTTGCCACAGAAAAGAAAAAACACAGTTACTTCCCAGGCAAATTTAGACAGTGAGTGATGTAACAGCCCTGGATACCTACCTGCCACACCTGCCCACTGTCCAAATGCCACTACCCGTATTCCTCTATGATCCACCATTTTCTCATAATCAATGAGTCGGATTTCCTGAAGAAATGATAAAAAATTTCTAAATCATCCAGTTTAATTTCAATGGGTAGAACACAGTATGAGCAAGTGAGTATTTCACATTTTTCCCTCTTATAAAATATATCTTGAATTGCTAACAGAAGTTACCATGAGGTGCACCATGAAATATTTAGAAAATGCTGGGTCACAAACCAAGGATAGGTTTGTGATGAGAAATGAAAGAATGCTGCTAGCAGGATGCTAATGCCCCTTGATGGCAGGCAATAAAATAACAAAGGCATGATATCTTTCAACATTTAGCCCAGCACCATCAACCAGTATTTCCACATAACGCCCCACTCATCCTCACATCCTTCCCTCTAGTGTCAAAAACAAGTGCTTCCTGAGACTAATCCCTGAGAGCTAGATCCCAGCTTTTTTCTGTGTCTTCCAAGGTCACTCTTGAACTCATTCTCATTCTTGCATTGCCTGTCTTTACTGTGTTCCTTCCCCTCAGCCATTCTAAATATGCCCAAGTCTCCCTTCTACCTTAAAAATGACAACAAACCTCCCTCTCAAGTCCATACACACAAATCTATCTCATTCTCTCTCTTCCTCTTCTTCTCTCTCTTTCTGACTCTCTTAGTATCTCTTTCTCTTTCTCTCTGTTTTCTCTTTCCAGGCTTTCACAAGTAAACTCTATTTTAAAAATAACACAAGCTGCTTGTTTTTCACTTCCTCATTTCCACTAAAATCATATCCTTCCCCTTTCCTTGAGAATCTTCCCTTTCTCTTGGAAATCTCCTATTAATTAATGCTTAAAAGCTACTAACACATTGTAATTATAGAATGTCTTAAACAATCTATTTATTTCTGAAAGATAATATAATTTTTACCATGTCCATGTATTCAAGAATATTTAATATTCATCCAAGTAATTTGTTACAGAAATGTTGCCCAAAAGCAGCCTTGCTGGGTCTGTTTTTATTAATTTTCTGGAAATGAACAAAAGTTCATACAACAACAACAAAAAGTTTCTGAAATACTTTTTGAGGAGTTTATCTGCTTAAGGTGAAACATTCTTCTTATTATTTTCATTAATTAGTTTTTAATTTGTTCTTTTGAAACACTGAAAATTAACTGTAGTCTCTGTTTAGTGAATTTGATAATAGTTAAGAATGTATTCTGGATGCCTATATAAAATACATTTTCCTCTACTGCTTTTACTCTTCATGAAATTCTCCTGTCCTCTGCCTACTAGCAAATGCTAGTCTAGTTTCTAACAGTTTAATATCTTTACTCCAGGACTTAGATCTTGGACTTCTCCATCCACACTTACTCCTTACCCTCTTCTAATCTCACGGCTTTCAACTCAGTCAGTTCAGTCGCTTAGTCGTGTCCGACTCTTTGCGACCCCATGAATCGCAGCACTCCAGGCCTCCCTGTCCATCACAAACTCCCGGAGTTTACTCAAACTCATACCCATCAAGTTGGTGATGCCATCCAGCCACCTCATCCTCTGTCGTCCCCTTCTCCTCCTGCCCCCAATCCCTCCCAGCATCAGGGTCTTTTCCAATGAGTCAACTCTTCGCATGAGGTGGCCAAAGTATTGGAGTTTCAGCTTCAGCATCAGTCCTTCCAATGAACACCCAGGACTGATCTCCTTTAGGATGGACTGGTTGGATCTCCTTGCAGTCCAAGGGACTCTCAAGAGTCTTCTCCAACACCACAGTTCAAAAGCATCAATTCTTCGGCGCTCAGCTTTCTTTACAGTCCAACTCTCACATCCATACATGACCACTGGAAAAACCATAGCCTTAACCAGATGGACCTTTGTTGGCAAAGTAATGTCTCTGCTTTTCAATATGCTATCTAGGTTGGTCATAACTTTCCTTCCACGGAGTAAGCGTCTTTTAATTTCATGGCTGCAGTCACCATCCGCAGTGATTTGGGAGCCCAATAAAACAAAGTCTAACACTGTTTCCACTGTCTCCCCCTCTATTTCCCATTAGGTGATGGGACCAGATGCCTTGATATACCTTTTAGTCTCTAACAACTGTGTATCAGGAGGAGCTGGCTTCAGATTCACATTCAATGGCCCACTCAGCTTCTCCCCTTCAATGTCTAATGGACAAACTCAACAGGTCCTAAACCCAACTCTCAATCCTTCCATACAAGCCCATTCCTCTGGCAGTGGCATCATCTCAATCTAAGGCAACTCCTTTAAGTTACTGAAACCAAAATCTTAGAGTTAGCTCTGACTCCTCTCTTTCTCTCATAGTCAACACTCACTTCATCAGTGACTCCTGTGGGCTCAGACTTCTAAAATATACGCAGGACTGGTCCATGTGTCTCTGCTCTGCCACCTTGACGCAAGCCACCATCATTGGCAGCCTAGCATCTGGACTAGTCCAGACTAACAGTCTTATTAATTTTGTTCTCCTCTCACTTCCAACTATTATTCACACAGCAGGCAGAAAAAGCATCTTAGAATATGATTTTCTCTAATCCTCCACTCAAAAAGACTGTCAGGGCTTTGTATAACTATTCTCTTAGCTGAGCAGACTTTGCCCAGATGGATATGGCTTGATCCTTCATCTCCAAAGGTTTGCTCAATTCCAACTTAGCGAGGAGGCTCTCTCCAGCCATCCTATTTAAACTAGCATTGTCACCTCCCCCAGTGCCCAGCATACCTTTTTTTCTCCTGTATCATATTTACCTCCATTACATATATCACCAAGCAATGTGATTTATTTATCATCTGTCCCCTTCCACTCAAATATAAGCTCTGTTCATTGCAGTAATCAGTGTCAGACACGGCGCAGGCACGTGGTAAATGCTTGCTGAGTTAATACGCTCGAATTTAAATAGATGCTAGTTTTTTCACAGTATTAATAATCTCAAAAAAATTTTGTCCCCTTATGAATATGCAAAAATAAATGTAAAAATAGTCTCCAGTCCAGTTCTGGTACTACAGAGCAACCTCAGTCAATTTGCTTCACCTCTCTGGGCTCCACCTGAAAAATTAGGGTGGTGGGTTGTATGATCCCTGAGGTTCTTTTCAGCTCTAAAATCCGACTCGCTAATATTTGACCAACTAGCCTTATAAATTAATCATCATTTGGGACAAACGTTTCTATCATTCTTTCCATTTTAGAATACAAAAGGAATGAAATATGTTTGATTCTTCGTGTTATGAACCTGCCCCAGAGGAGCCCTAATGGCAGCTGAACAATGCAAGCACTATCTTACAGATCATCTTTCCTGTTAAGGTGAATAACATGATGCATTTCCTAGATGCTAAAAGAAAACTGAAACTCTGCTTGACAGTCAAAAGCAAAAAAAAAAAAGTTTCGGGATTAACATTTATGAATATTGGCCACTAAATACCTGTTTTAGGATCTCATCCAGCAAACCCATATTGGCCTCCTGAGCCTTTATTGTGTGGGAGAAGAATGCATAAGTCTTCTTGGGCATTAATTTTTCCTCTGGTGGTCTTTTAACTCCCAGAATTAGACAAGCTTCAGAAATATCCTCCTGGAGAATGCCACCAGCTTTGACATATTCCTGGGAATGCAATTTTGATTGAAAGTTAGTTCCCTGATTTGTTGTATTCATATTTTCTTTACTAAATAAATTTAGCAGTTAAAGACACAAACTTTTGAAAGAATAAAACATAAGGAACAAATAATGGAAAAACTACTTCTAAAATTCTTACTTGCTGACTAAAGATGAATTTAACATTTAGCAGCAAAAACAAAAATCAGAAAATTCAGCACATAATTTTATTTGAGAACAGTTAATAGCCACTAGCACACTAGAATACGTGATTTAAATATACTTGTAGAATGTATTTTTTCTTCAACAATGCTGTGAAACATGAAGTGCTAAATAGTAATTTATTGTTGTTATTGTTGTTTAGCCACTAAGTTGTGTCTGACTCTTTGCAATCTTGTAGAGAGGAGTCTGGCAGGCTCTTCTGTCTGCGGAATTTCCTAGGTAAGCATACTGGAGTGGGTTGCCATTTTCTTCTCCAGGGGATCCTCTTGATCCAGGGATTGAACCCATGTCTCCTGCATTGGCAGGTGGATTCTTTATCACTGAGCCACCAGGGAAGCCTGGTAATTTATAACTTGAGTATATTTTTAAAAGAAAGACATAAATCTGCAACATTTTCTTTTCTTTCTTTTTTTGGGGAGTGGGGTTCAATTCATATTTACTATTGTCCTACTCTGTACAGTTGATTGTAATGATGAGATGAGCCAAAACCCAAAGACAGACAGACAAGGTTCCTCCTGTAAAGGGGCTCACAAAATATTGTAGAAAGAATCAGAGGCACAATGTATTAGGTTGAATTCAAAAGAAAGTATGATTATTCTTACTTAATATGAATAATCATTACTTAATGATAATTAGTATGGTTATTAATAATCTAAATGATATATTAATTTAACAGATATTGAGATAACTCCCAGGAGAGATGATCATGGAAATATAGAAATTTAAATTAATCTAAAAGGCTGAGTAGGATTTGGAGGAACAGAGAGAGGAAATACAAGGTGGTAATACCAGTAAGAGGCATTGAAGAAACACACACAAATATGGAGATGGGAAAGTAAGGAGATGTTTAGGGCATAATAAGTGAATAGTTTAGAAAAGTAGAGTGAATATTATCATGGTGAATATGAGTTTTATTGAACAAAAATTATAATCATTGATATTTATTAATAAATTACTATATGCTTTGCTAAGCTCTTTGGGCGAATTATTTAATTCCTAAAACTCCCATGAGGTAGATGCTATTATTATCCCCATTTTATCAATGGGAAACCCGAGTCTTACACATTAAACTGAGATTTCATAACTAGTACATAGAGGCAACAAAGAATTATTTCAGATTTTTAAGTAAAGGGGTAGCATGATCCAAGCAGAATTTTTAAAGCATCAGAGGTGGCAGTTAAATAAAATGAAGATAAATCTAGTTAGGAATCTACTTGAAAGGAAAGCATAAATCTAGAGGAGAGACAGTAAAAGTAATAAACATGTTCATGTCTGGTTTCTCTGAAAACAATCTGCCCATTTATAGTAGACTGGTTAAATACATCATGATAAATCAGAGAACAATAATAACAGAGTAATTACTACATAGACATTAAACAGAATGAAGCTGATTTCTATGAACTGACATGGACAGATTTCCAGGATATGCCTTCAGTTCAGCTCAGTTCAGTCACTCAGTCATGTCTAACTCTTTGTGAACCCATGGACTGCAGCACACCAGGTTTTGCTGTCCCTCAACATCTCCCAGAGTTTGCTCAAACTCCACCCATTGAGTCAGTGATGCCATCAAACCACCTCATCCTCTGTCGTTCCCTTCTTCTGCCTTCAATCTTTCCCAGCATCAGGGGATACGCCAAAGAGCAAAGCAAGGTGTGAAAGAGTATATACAGTATACAAGGTTCTGTATAAGATTGAAAGGAAAGTAAGAAAACACATACACACATTTTTGTAAGAATAAACAGGAACGATAGATCAGAAACTAATGAAAACAGTAACCTACAAGGGAGATAGGAATGGGATGTAGGGGATTAAGATAAGAGCAAGACTTCTCTGTGTTGGATCTTTTTATAAGGTTTTAATCTTCAAAGGGGCTTCCCTTGTGGCTCAGCTGGTAAAGAACCCCCCTGCAATGTGGAAGACCTAGATTTGATCCCTGGATTGGGAAGATCCCCTGGAGAAGGGAAAGGCTACCCACTCCAGTACTCTGGCCTAGAGGATTCCATGGACTGTATAGCCCATGGGGTCGCAAAGAGTCGGACACGACTGAGCTACTTTCATTTTCACTAGGTGGCTCAGCAGTAAAGAATTCACCTGCAATGCAGGAGATGTGAGTTCAGTCCCTGGGTGGGGAAGATCCCCTGGAGAAGCAAATGCCACCCAATCTAGTATTCTTGCCTGGGAAATCCCATAGACAGAGGAGCTAGAGGGCTACAGTCCATGGGGTCACAAAGAGTCAGACACGATTTAATGACTGAAAAACAGCAACAAAATCTTTAAAGCTTATTAATATTTAACTTATTTAAAAAATAAAACTAAATCAAAAAGAATTTAAAAGCAAATGTTAAAATTTAATAGGAACAAAAACAAATCCAACTGGATATCACATTGACATGTAATCACATAGAAAAACTATTTCAGATATGTTTTGAACACAGCACTCTGAATATTCTTTGTGACATGTATTCTAAAGGCAAAAAAAAACCATCCCTCTAAGAAATATTAAACTCCATTCAGTATCCTCTTACTGAGGACAGAGGATGAGATGGTTGGATGGCATCACCGACTCAATGGACATGAATTTGAGTTGGTGATGGACAGGGAAGCCTTGCATGCTGCAGTCCACGGGGTCGCAAAGAGTCGGATATGACTGAACTGAACTGAACTGAATATTATATTTGTTTCGGGTATATACCAAAATTAGTTTCAGGTGTAAACATTATATTAGTTTCAGGTGTATACCAAAATTAGTTTCAGGTGTATACATTGCAAAAGGATCACCACAATAAACCTAGTTAACAATAAACCTAGTACTATTCTAGATTAAAAGAACTAAAGATACATAATAATAAATTCAATTAACATTATTTAAACCTTGCTTAAAATAAAAATCATAAAAAACATTTGGGACAATGGGGAATTTGAAACGGGTATGTGTGATGATCTTGTGGAATTATTAATTTCTTAGGTGTGAAAATGAAATGACAGTTATGGCTATGTAGGAAGACGATTTATTCCTAAGAAATACATACTGAAGCATTTAGAGATAAAGTGTCACTGTCTGCAGCATATTTTCAAATGGCTCACAGAAGAAAAACCACGTGCATGTCTCTAAAGTCAAAATAAAAGTTAAATCTGTGTCATAAGATTAGGGTGAAGAATGAAGAGAATGATGAATGTGAGGTGACTGGCAAGGTTAGGACTCATGAACAAACTCTACATAGTAAAGCATTTCCTGGAGACATCCTAGAACCAGGGTTGCACATGAAAGAATGATGGGAAGGATGTCATCCCTAAACTGGAGAAAGCATGGAATGAGGTGAAAACAATGCTTACTGGCTAAATTCTGGGCTCAAGAAAGTAGGAGACTAGAAGTCTCCTAACTATATAATCTCACTACACCCGAAGTAAAGAAATACTGTTGTGTGGTCCCTTAAGTGACACTGGCAAACGTTTTGAGCTTCTCTAGCGGCTCAGATGGTAAAGAATCCGCCTGCAATGCGGGAGACCTGGGTTTGACCCCTGCGTTGGGAAGATCCCCTGGAGGAGGGCACGGCAACCCGCTCCAGTATTCTTGCCTGGAGAATGGACAGAGGAGCCTGATGGGTCGCAGAGTTGGACACAACTGAGCGAATAAGCACGGCACAGCCCAGCTAACATGTTATGTTCACTCAGATACTCTGTAATTTTCATACAGAGTCATTTCACTTTCACATATCTTTACAAATCGGAAATATTACCTTATCGTGAATGGCTCGCCGATTGGAAGGCTGTATTAAGACCTTGTATCCCAGGTTGGTGATCCCTTTGACATGCCGGGGAGCCAGAGGAGCCCGCCTTTCCCAGGCATTCACATCCTCCCGCCTCAAGGCCATCACCGCCTTGTGGTGAAGCCCTCTGGAGAGGCTGGGGCTCAGCCTGCCCAGTCTGGTTCTGGGCATCCGCAGCATCTTGAAACCTGGTGACTGGAGAGACACTGTGAGAGCAGGACGATGAGAGGCAGGAGGGCTCACAGTCAGTTCTGGTCTCCTGAGAAATCTGCTGTAAAACCCAACCAACCCGGGTGGTGACAGATTCAAGGTGCAGAAGGGAGAGGGGAAACCTGGATGCCACTACAGTGTTCCTTTACCCAACCAAAACTGAGCTTTCACGAACAAAGGTAAATCCAAAATTCAAAAACAAAAAGTTCCAAGCACTGACAGGACGCTAATCAATATTTGCTATGTCAAAATCATCTTTTTAAAATATATGTTTTATCAAACCATAAATTCAGCACAAAGGTTTTAAGCAAGTAAATCTATAATAAAATATAGGAAGATCATTTATACCAATTTTAATGATGAAAAATTTAGAATCCTTTCATAATGTACAAGATCCTTGACAATCTAGCTCCAACCTCTTTCCAGTTTGATCTCTGATCATTTCCTAAACTAGTTCGACTCAGTGTGTTTTACAGCCTGTTGTCGGTCACTGAACTGCTTTTTACTGGTCCAGGATGATATGTATACAGAAATAGAAAGTAGGCACTTACAAATCTTTATATGACAGGGTCATTTTTTCTAGTAATTCATTGGTACTGAATTTTATAAAAGCATTGGTTCTGGCAGACTAGAAACTTAAGAAAACAAAACAAACATGTTTTTCTAACACAGGTGTTAGAAGCTGGAAAGCATACCCCTAAACCCCTGCCCCACCCGACACCCCTCAGCCTCACTTCACTGACCCTGTTGTTGATTTTCGTCTTTCCAACCTGTCCTCTACCCTACCACCCCTCCCTGCTATTACATTAAACCGAGACCTGTCTTAATCAGTTCTCCAACTGCTGTCCCAGAATATATAACTCTATTCATTTGTTCAATTAAGAAATATTTACAAGAGGCTTACTATGTGTCAGCACAGAGTAAATTGTACAAAAAATTTTAAAGCATAAATACTAAACAGTTTTCAAATGGGAACATAAACTTAGTAGTAAGAGGTTATTTCAGACCATTTGGATGCTAAACCTTGCTTTTTCTATGTTTAAGGTTGGCATCAAAATATAAATACTAAATAATCTTACATCTTCTAGAAATTTCCTAGCATATAGGAAAATTCTTATGGAACACATGTCTGTTACATCAGACTGCAGTCTCTAAATCAGACCCACCTTAAAGAGAGGGAAGCTTTGTTGAAACAATGGAACATACAAGTACATTTCCTAGAGGCGAACTACTTATCACCCTAGATAGAAAATTTGTAGGATAACTCACAACACAGAGTAAAAGAATAAAGCAAACAGCAAGGAGTCCAGCTAAGAAGGCTTTAGAAGAAGGGCGGGGAGAGAAAACACAGCACACAGCAAGTAAACAGTCTGATCATGAGGAGTTCAGGCTAAATTTTACTCAGGCCAAATACATTTCAGTAAGACTAGTTCTTACAAATGCATTTCAGTAAGTACATCAACATTTCAGTAAGACTGTTACCTACTCTAAGGCTTTGGTTTGTATATATAGCTTTGTTTTTAAACAGACTATGTTAAGTCCAAGCCCATAACATTTATTCTCCCTCCAGCCAAAGGAAAATCTGCAACATCTCATAGAACTTGCACACACAGGTGTTAGAAGCTGGAAAGCATACCCCTAAACCCCTGCCCCACCCGACACCCCTCAGCCTCACTTCACTGACCCTGTTGTTGATTTTCGTCTTTCCAACCTGTCCTCTACCCTACCACCCCTCCCTGCTATTACATTAAACCCAGACCTGTCTTAATCAGTTCTCCAACTGCTGTCCCAGAATATATAACTCTATTCATTTGTTCAATTAAGAAATATTTACAAGAGGCTTACTACGTGTCAGCACAGAGTAAATTGTACAAAAAATTTTAAAGCATAAATACTAAACAGTTTTCAAATGGGAACATAAACTTAGTAGTAAGAGGTTATTTCAGACCATTTGGATGCTAAACCTTGCTTTTTCTATGTTTAAGGTTGGCATCAAAATATAAATACTAAATAATCTTACATCTTCTAGAAATTTCCTAGCATATAGGAAAATTCTTATGGAACACATGTCTGTTACATCAGACTGCAGTCTCTAAATCAGACCCACCTTAAAGAGAGGGAAGCTTTGTTGAAACAATGGAACATACAAGTACATTTCCTAGAGGCGAACTACTTATCACCCTAGACAGAAAATTTGTAGGATAACTCACAACACAGAGTAAAAGAATAAAGCAAACAGCAAGGAGTCCAGCTAAGAAGGCTTTAGAAGAAGGGCGGGGAGAGAAAACACAGCACACAGCAAGTAAACAGTCTGATCATGAGGAGTTCAGGCTAAATTTTACTCAGGCCAAATACATTTCAGTAAGACTAGTTCTTGCAAATACATTTCAGTAAGTACATCAACATTTCAATAAGACTGTTACCTACTCTATCTAAGGCTTTGGTTTATATATATAGCTTTGTTTTTAAACAGACTATGTTAAGTCCAAGCCCATAACATTTATTCTCCCTCCAGCCAAAGGAAAATCTGCAACATCTCATAGAACTTGCACCCACATGTTTACGAATGAAATCAGTTCCAAAGACAAGTGATTCTTCTCAACAAACTGAGAAGCCCACAAACGGTCCCATTGTCCCAGCAGGGGTTCTATCTCCCATACCATGGGTGACCAAGTGACCCTAATCTTCTATACTTAATAGCAGTTCTTGGCACAAAGATTCGGAAACCTATCCAAGTAATTCAGTCTCTCTCCTCAGCCCAAGTTTGATTTATAACCACAGCTTCCCCTTTCTCAAAAACACTCTTCTGCCTTCTCCTCTTCCCTTTGTTTGGAGTCGGGGGAGTGGTGTGGGAGGAGACACAGACACATACACTCACGTAATACACACACACATGTTTGCAGAGGCGGACTTTCCTGGGGAAGAGGAAACGAAAGTAGCAGAGGGTGACCTTCTCTGTTTTATTTAGGAAACTACTTTCACTTTCACTTTTTGTAGGGAATTCTTGAATCCCAATTCCCAACATTTTGTTTTTAAAGAAATAGGACAATAGTTATCACTGATTTAACATTATATGTCAAGCACTATGCTGAGCACTTTATAGACAGTATTTCATTTCCTCCTTGTGGCATTCTAATTAAGCAGGTACTATTATTCTCGTCATTTTACAGATGAAGCAACTGAAGTAAAATCCGACTAGCGTGGTTGCTTTTAAGCCAGAGAAGAATCCCTAGGTTAACAGTTAACGCTAGGGATTTCTTCGCCAAAGCCTGCAAATCCATGCCTCATATATCCGACACATGTTACTACTGCCAGCTCAATTCAGAAAGAAATCAGATCCATATGGTATCAACTATATGACCAGTTCTCCCACAGCATGGGGTGCCTCCATCAACCCCTTTCCTACATGCCACCAAAAATCCATCCTGAGTCCCGGCCAAGGTAAATTTTAAGTTTCTGGATGCTTAGTAAGGAGATGATTATAGAGAATCTGATTATATCAGTAACTGCTTGAGCCTTGAATCTTGGTCCAAGTATAGAACTTTCTGGGACCACCATTCATTTCATTCTCAGGTCATCAAGAAATATGTAACAGTGAGACTTTCTGAATTGCTCCAAGATAGAGTATGCACAGAGTCGGACATAATTGAGCAACTGAACTGAACTGAGGGTATTATGACTCTTTAGAAAAGACCCTGATGCTGGGAAAGATTGAAGGCAGGAGGAGAAGGGGACAACAGAGGATGAGATGGCTGGATGGCATCACTGACTCTATGGACATGAGTTTGAGCAAACTCCGGGAGATAGTGAAGGACAGGGAAGCCAGGTGCTGCAGTACATGGGGTTGCAAAGAGTTGGACAAGCCTGAGCAACTCAACAATAAAATACAAAACAAAGTTGGGCTTGGCCCCTTCTAATTTCTGTTGCTTTCACTGGGACATGTAAAAAGGATTACATATTGTTCATTAAAGAAAATTTAAGGCCATATCATCTATCTCTAGCCCCCAAATCAGAAATGTGCTCTTTGTCCATATATTTTAGATCTTTGAAATAATTCCACTAGAATAGAATCCAGTGACTCACACTAAAACCACCAAATCACAGGGAAAGATTTCTCAATGTCAAGTTGTTTGCATACAGTCAGGCATACATTTTGGTTAAATTTAGAGTGACTAAGGATGGAGTAGCCTTCACTTGACTAAAGTAATAAAGGGTGAGAAATGCAGATGATTTATACCCTCACTTCCAGTTTATTCAAAACATGCAAGTGTATTTAAAAAGCCACAGTGGGACTTCCCTGGTGGTTCATTGGATAAGACTCCAAGCTCCCAAGGCAGGGGGCCCAGGTCTAATCCCTGGTCAGGGAACTAGACCCCACATGCCACAACTAAAGATCCCACATGCTGCAAAGAAGATGGAAGATCCCGTGTGCTGCAACTAAGACCTGGCACAGCCAAATATATAAATATATTTTTAAAACTAAAATAAATAAATAAAAGCCATAGTTTCCCAGGAAGCCCTGATACAATAAAGGCAAGCAATTGCATGACCATGAGTCTTCACCCACACTACATATTTGGCATCCAGACCATAATGACCCTGAAGAGGTTCATAAGAGTTCCAAATGAACAGAACACCTAGTGATAGACTAGAACTCCTCCAAGTACCTCCCAACCCCAAGGCTTGCTAGAACAAGTCATGAACATGAGGCTTGAACAACACTGTCCTCCATACTTCTATTTCCTGTTGCATAGCTATATTCTTTTAATGTTAAACTGGTTACAAAATGAAAGTGAAAGTGAAGTCTCTCAGTTGTGTCCAACTCTTTGGAACCCCATGGACTATAGCCTACCAGGCTCCTCCATCCATCCATGGGATTTTCTGGGCAAGAGTACTGGAGTAGGTTGCCATTTCCTTCTCCAGGGGGATCTTCCCGACCCAGGGATCGAACCCAGGTCTCCCACATTGTAGGCAGATGCTCTTACCGTCTGAGCCACCAGGGAAATCTGGTTACAAAATAGTTAACTAGAAGTAAAAACAAGTAGACTTGGAGGGGGAGGCATATCTGTTAGTGTTAATTAACCTGATCTAAAATTATCATGTGTTCTCAAGTCCATCAACTACTCAAAGTCATCCAAAGATAATACGACCTACCAGTCTCCTGGTCTCTAGCCCACAAATGTAGCTTCACTGAGATGGAATGCAAAGTTAGTTCTGAATTGGATCCACAATGTTTATTTGTTTAATTTGTTTCTTTGTTAAACTCTATAAATTCTTTGAAGAAATGAATTGTTTTCCTCATCTCTATATTTCCAGTGACTTCCCTACAGGAGAACTTAAATGTTTGGTGACAGAATGAATAAATAAATGAGCAGATTTAAATGAATGTCATAAAGACCAGTGAAGCAAACAAAATAGACTCATGAATAAGAACAGGGATTCATATTTGCCACTGGCCCAACAAGGCTCACAAAAGAGCTAATCTCTTGCCAAGATCTCATAGACCAATGAATATTATGAAATACAAATAAAAATGGTATTAAAATACAGATCTGGCTGCTGAGACATATAACTAGATATGGGACTCCTTCCTTGACTTCAATTTCATAATTCAGGCCGGAATATAAAGATAACATCCTTCTCAGCTTTAATATGCTAATTCTATTAAATATAGTATATAGAAGATGAGATGGTTAGATGGCATCACTGATTCAGTGGACATGAATTTGAGCAAACTCCCAGAGACAGTGAAGAACGGTTCATGGGGCCGCAAAGAGTCGGACACGACTTAGCAGCTGAACAACAACAACATTAAGCATAGTAGTGACTGGACACTGTGGATTACAAAGGCATTCAAATTTTAGAACATAAATAGGCACTCTGACTCATGAAGATCCAGCCAAAGTACACAAACAGGGTAACAAAATACCAAAAGCACTATAGAGAAAGACAGGATATTCACCTAAGTTACCTGCATTAACTGCAGTGACCATGAGCCAAAAATAGGAGGGGGATACCTCACAAAAAATTCTGACTACTCTCCTCCATAAATGGCCTGGGTTCCTCTGCTTCCCACTTACTCAAAGACCTTGATGAGTAACTTAATCTGTCTGTACTTCACCTGCAAAATGGGATATATACCTACCTCATAGGGTTATTGAGAAGTTTATTTGCACTAAGAGGCATAAAGTGCTGAGCACTGCCTTACATGTCATTAAACACTCAGTAAATGTTTAAGCAAAACGCTGCAAGGCTGCCCTCTCCTCAAAGGTAAACACACCCACCATCACCCCTGACAGTAGATTATCACTTTCCCTTCCTCTGGGTCACACTGTGGGGAGGCCTTCACAATGACTCCATGTTCATCCCTCCCTCTTCTTAATTTTTTAGAAAAAAAAAAAAAAAGCCCAGTAAGCCTTCTCGTTACCTTTACCCTTCAGGCGTGAGGGTTCAAGATAATAAGTTATCATTTTAATACTATATTTCATCAAATTTAAATTACTTTTTTTTTCTTCACATTTTAGCATCCTTGAAAGGAGGATGCATCTTATAATCGACTGTATCTTAATTCTATGAATATGGTAATAACATTGTTGGTTACTTTCCATTCCAGATATACAGCATTTCTGTGATTCCATGAATTCCATAGAAATTTCTGTGGCCTCACCACAGAAACTTGGCACTGTTTGTAGTGTTATCTCTATGAGAAAATTAATAAAAGAATATTTGGAAAAAATGAAAATTTTATGTTAAATGGGATTGGTTACCCACCAAAGATCATTTCCAAAATCCTGCTAATGCTTAGAGGACTGGTTAGTTATGGGATAAATTTTCAATGACAAATAAATCAGAGTTCTGATGATGCTGTCACCAATAACAAGTGAGGTTGATAACAAACAGGATTTTCTAGAGAGTGGGAAAGTCATTTGGGGACATTGACTTAAGCCTTTGTCCTCCTAGCTCATTTTGCAGAACAGCCACCAGGTTACACACCTAGAATGTCCCGTGGCCCATAGGTTCACTCCTCTTTACAGCAAAAAAGGGAGAGCGGGAGAGGGAGCAGTCGACCACACACACACACATATAGAAGCCGTCCACACCAAGTGTCATGGCTGGTTTGTGTTTGTTTGTTTTTTTAATATAGAGTATGCTGCTGCTGCTGAGGCGCCTCCGACTCTGTGCGACCCCACAGAGGGCAGCCCACCAGGCTCCTCTGTCCCTGGGATTTTCCTGGCAAGAACACTGGAGTGGGTTGCCATTTCCTTCTCCGAATATAGAGTATAGGAAAGCCATATGTCAAAGTGGATGACAGTTCACTCCTGTGCACAACTAGGTCGCCCTAATCAGTTACATTTTCACAGCCGAATAGCAACATCAAAAAATGCTCGTCTTCGTTCCAGTTACTAAACACATTCTTTCCCTCTCTCCACGCCACAACCCACTTCCACTCTCCTAAAATCAGTACCTGCAAAGCATATTTCTTCCAGAAGTAGCCAGGGCATTTAGCCCCATTGAGTTAAACAGGGTATTTAACTGCTTCTAACCGCGCCCCCTCCGCGGGTGAACTCTCCCGCTGGCCCGCACAGCGCCTGCGGGGTCTCAGAAATTCAGGAGACGCTGATATCCAAACATTCAACTTCTGCACTTTTCCTGTCAGAGGATGGAGGGGGACGGCCTCCATCTCAGAGAAAGGTCAGGTCCACAGGGGCAGTGTGAATAAGTCTGTGATCCGAATTTGTTTAAGCAGGCCAGGGGCTTAAAAGGTCAACCAGTAACCGCCGAAAGCAAGCTTGGGGGTGCGAGCGTGCTGGGCCGAAGGGGCGGTGCCCGCCGCCATCTGTCTTCCACCCTCCCGCAGCCGCCTGTCTAAATAAGTACACGGTCCAAGAATTAACAGAGGCTTTGTTCTACAACTTCAATACCAATTCTTTACTCCCCAGCAACCGCCCCCCACTTCAGCCCTGGCCAAAAAAGAAATCCATATTGCCATCCCTTCTCCTGCCTATACAGAAATTCCGGGGCTGCGCCGACTGCCCCCGACTTCCCACCCCTCGTCCGCAGGGAAACGCTTGGAGGGAGGCCTGGAGAAGAGGCCCGAACGCTCTTCACGCTCTTCCCCATTCTTGTCCCGGCAACGGCCGGCGTCCGCGGAGCTCCCGGGTCCCCAGCGCCGCAGGGAGGAGTAGGCAGAACACTCGCCCGCACCTCCGGGCGGATAGGCAGAGCCCCGCCAGCGGTCTCTGGCTCATCTCACAGGCTGAGCCCACTGCCCATCAGCTCAGCTCCTCCTGGCACCCACCCCACCCCACCACCCCCTCACCTCGTCCGGTCCCCGCCGCCTTTGAGTTCCGGGACCCGGTGAGGGGAGGATCCAAATTCCCAGCCGAAATTGGGATGCAGGCGATGAAGAGGAGGTGTTTGCTCAACTTAGAACGTCATGACTCCTCCTCCGCAGCCAATCAGCGCCCGCCCTGAGGGAACAACCTTCTTCTCCGCCAATCGGCGGCGCTGCCAGGTACTAGGTCATGCCCTGCCCCGGCTCCACCCAGAAAATCTTTCTGCCTTTTTAGATCTCTGACCTACGTCCGTAGCCGGGGACCTCACGTCCTTCCAGGACGGTTATTGACCAAGTTTGTAACTGTCTGCAGCAGGAGACAGGCGGAGACGGTGAAGGAAATAGTCCGAACAGTACACGTTCAACAGATGGGTGTATCTCCTGGAAAAAAAAATAAATAAATAAAGTTTCAAACTCACGTATATCACGCTCGTTTAGCAGTATGCACTTCTGAAAACATTTTCATAGCCTTACAACAAAACTGTGAAGCCTGATGACCGTTCTTAGAGCAGTTTTAGAGTCCAGCAAACGGGGACTGAGAAATTGTCGTGTGTCCACATCCAGTGAATATTAATTTTCATCAATGACTTTAATAATTTCACTACTGAACTTTATTCTTATAAATAGTGTGTAGGCCCAGAGGTTTTTTGCTCAAATCAATGAGATGATCAGAGTTGCGTGCTTAAGGGAATATGGTCTAGGTAGTGTATAGAAGGGATTTGAGTAAAAGTGATAGTAAAAACTTTAAAAGGACAGAGTCAACACCACGGGTAAGGATGACAGGTTAGAGGAAGAACTGAAGCAAATTTGGTGTTTCCAGCTTGGCTAAGTGGTGATTAGGAACCCGGTGATACTGAGAATAGTGCAGAGAAACATAGCAAGAAGGGAAAGCTTTAGAGGAATGGTTAGGAATATGATCTTGGCTATGTAAAGCTTAAGATACAGAGGGAAAACTCAACTTCTAGAGAGGGCTCTAATTTTCTTTGTAATTGGAGATATGAGTGGAGCTTATAAAAATGTTCTAGGTTCAATATTGTTGACAGAGTTTAAACCCAGCTGTGGCAGGTATGAGAAAAGTACGTGTTGGAGAAAATTTTCAGAAGGAAATATTACCCTCTGGCCACTGACACCCTAGGAAGACCACAGATGGACTTCGTTTTTCAGCTTCTAGAGCTGCGGCTAGTCTTCACAAAATGCATATTCTGCTGTCTTCCAGGGCCAATTATCCATGACTTTCTTTTCTTTTCTTTTTTTGTCTGTGCTGGGTCTTTGATGTTGCACAGGCTTTTCTCTAGTTAAGGAGAGTGAGACCTACTCTGTCATTGAGGTACATGGGCTTCTCACTGCAGTAGTTTCTCTTGTTGTAAGCATGGGCCCTAGGGCTCTCAGACTTCGGTAAAGGCACTAGGGCTCAGTACTTGCGGCTCCCGGACTCTGGAGCACAGGCTCAATAGCTGTAGCACACGGCTTAATTGCTCTGCGGCCTGTGGGATCTTCCTGTTAGGTAGTTAGAATAGGGAAAAGGAGTCCAGAATGGCGGTGGCTGAAAGACAAGAAACAGAAAAGCCCGCAAAAATAGAACAAAGGAAGGTCCGAGGACCGGAGTGAGGACCTCAGGTAGAATAAACAGCACTCCTGGCTGGCCCAATTTACATGGGGCGGGCCCAGGGGGGAAAAAAACGTATAAGAAGAGGAGCCAAAGCGTTCTCCCTCTCTCTCTGCCCCCCACCGCGCACTGGGGCGCTCTTCTCTTCGCGTCTTTGGGTCGGCGTGCCCTCACCCCTCGAGGCTGGATTTACGTATTACTATCTAATTAAAATAGAGCTGTAACGTGGAGCTGCAACACTGATTTGTCTAAGAGCTATAACACGGTCCGTTTGAGACCTGAGAGCTATAACACGGTCTGTCCAAGACCCAAGAGCTGTGACACGCCGAGGCGGCTTCAATGTCCGTCACTCCAAATCTTTGTTGTGACGAGACAAAACCGAGGAGTATACACTCGCCTGACATCCCCAGACTAGGGATCAAACCCATGTCTCCTACGTTGGCAGGCAGATTCTTGACCATTGAGCCACCAGTGAAGCCCTAGTCAGGGCTTCTAAAGAACACTGGGCTTTGTCGCATATGCGTGGATCCTTAATACTCATTGGGTGTGGATATGCTATACTTAATCTTTCAGTCTCAGCTTGCCGAATTCTATAACTGTTCTAAGAACTGTCATCTGGCTTCACAGGCTTGTTATGAGGCTGTGAAATACTTCGGAAAGTGCATATCACTAAACAGATGTGATAGTCATGAGCTCAAACGTTTTTTCCAGGAGATACACACGCCTGTGTCGTGTGTCATGCCCAGACTCTTTTGCCCACCGTCCTTCCTACAGTGTTTGAGTTCCTTCAAGGTGTGGCCAAAACCAGCCATCTCAGCTTTATTTCAACAGCAACACCAGCCTGAAAAGATTAGTGAACCACAATCTGTCCTTTGTTATCTTCTAAGGATTAAGAGCCTGGATCAGAATCCTTACTTTTCCTCCTCGAAGTATAAATCACGGACAAGCTACTTAGTTTTCAAAAAAACCTAGGTTTCCTTATCTATTAATAGGAAAATAATAGGGACTACTTCAGGGGTTATTGCGGGGATGTAAAATGAGATGATATCCAAAGTGCTCTACCAAGCATCTAGCTAAGAAACAGGCAATTATTATTTATTTTCCCAAAGTGTTTTTTTGTTTATTTATCTGCAGTTCTCTGTCATTTCAATTGGGTAAATTAGGAGACATGAAGGGAGTGTAGGCAGGGATAAAGGAGGGCAACAAATAAAAGATGGTAATGCCCACTTGCTCCCCGGAACTAGAAACAGTGAGACACCTGTAGGCCTTAATAGGTTCAAAGGAAGAGACAAGTTACCAGAACACAGAAAGAACTCTAGCTGGGTTGTCGCAGAAGCTAATGGGAAAGCCACCAGACAGTGGTGACTTTTGACAGGAAGGGAGATGCCTAAGGAATCAATAACCCTGCCCAGAGATGGAGTTATCTAAGGCAGGGGTCAATAAACTTTTTTAATGCAAAGAACTAGAAAATTAATATTTTAGGCTTTGCAGGCCATTAAATCTCTGTCACAATTCACCAACTCTGACATTTGGAGACTAAAAGCAGCCACAGACAATACTTAAATGGATGAGCATGGCTATGTGCCAATAAAACGTTGTTTGTAAAAATTAACTGAAGGCTAGATTTGGACCCCGGGTCATAGTTTGCAGAACCCCAGCCCATAGAATGAATAACCTACTTCCTTCTCCTGCCCTCCCACCTCCTGCTAGTGCTTTCTACAAATTGGACACAAGGAAAACCAGAGGGCTGGTACAGTCCATAAAGGTCAACCCTTCAGGGACAGAGCAGGTACAAAGGAGAAAGGAGTTCTAGAAGGTTCAAAAGAGCATATTCAACACAAAAGGTATTCAAGACATGCTTGTTGAAATGAATGATTCTTCACTGTGAATTACCCTGCAAATGGTGGAACACTTGCAGGAAAACTATCAAAACTGCATCCCTGAATGGGCACAGCCAGGAAAGGCTCCTGGATTGTGGTGACTCTGGAGCCTGTGATGCTCTGTTAGCGCTCTCTTTGCTTTATTTTGAAATCCTGTGCACTTCTGACCTGGTAATGAAATATTAACCTGGCCAAAAAAAAATCCTTCCTTCAAATTCCAAACCATCACTCAGATGTTTATAGTGCTCAAGGATTTTGCAAAATATGCACATGAGAAATACTCATCCTTAAAATGGGAGAATTCAAAGGTTCTTCATCATGTGACTGTTGTAATAAGTGTGACAGGTATCAGAAATTTCTTCACAATTGAGAGACAATAGATGCAAGAAAAATAAGGCTTGGATACACCTAAAGAGTTTCCATAGGACTTCTGCTGTCAATCCTTCAGACTTCTTCAATAAGGGAGAACCCTTCCATCCATGTAGGGTGTTAGGTCAATACTCTTGAAATTGGAAAGTTGGGTCTAGGCCACTCAAGTTGCCTCTCTTTCTCCATATTCTTTGATTTTCTTCTCTTGTTGTTCCTTACTTTGTTTCTGTTCTTCCTGAGAGACATGAGGGGAGTAGTTAGGTATGTGAGCATTAGGGAGCCAGCCTTAGACTTCATCCTTCCTTCACCAACTCTCTAGCTAGTCATTTCCCCATCAGGACATTGGGAAACATCACAATGTTCTCAAGAAGATTAAGTGACGGACATACTCAATATGCATGAACTATTATTGGGGTTTACTATTTTACTCTGTTTCATGCACTCCTTCCTTTGTATTCAGAACCCATTCTCAATCTTATGTGAACTTTGCTATAAAAAGAAAAGAGGTGGACATTTGATCTATTGCTCTCTCAAGACTCTATATTTCTCACATGAACAGTAAATTTCACAGTATCACCTATATCACTCACCCTAATAAGATATTCAACTTGTTATAAATAAATTTCTTACTGACAGGAAGTACCAAATCTTACGTTGTTTAAAATAAGAAGTAGCTTAGAAAAGAAAAATTTCTAGGTGACAATTACTATTGTTGCCTAACTCCCAAATTATCTTGGAAAGGAAATGTACCTCCTTTACCACCAAGGAATTTAAAAATCTGATTAGGTAAGATAATGTGAACCATCCACAGGAAAATCACTACTGAAAACAGGTTCTGGGTGGAGATAGTGATGTCCTGGGGGATTATATCTACCCCCACCTTAGATGAATGAAGCAGAGAAAACTACTTTTTATTTCACCTCCTCTGCCATTACCATTACTATTACCATTACCATTATTTAAGAAGCCTTCCTGAAAAAAAAAAATTTAAGAAAATTCCAAGGCCCAGGATCAACATTTGTTGGTTTCACACAATCCCCAAGAGTTTACAACATCCCTCAAGAGTTATGCCTCAAGGCTTAACTCACTGGACAGGTTTGCTGCTCATCATTACCTGCTTAGTAATTGTTATTATAAGTCTACCAGGACCTCTAAATTTCCAGTTCTACATCTCTGCATTTTATAAATTGGGTAACAATTATAAGCTATGGTAATAAAAGCAAA